CTTTCAAGTATTTTTACAGAATTTTTATATTATTAGTATCACTCTGGAACAACTATAAAATTAAACTTTTTAAGCATAGAATAATTTCTTTTCACTTTAGATTGAAAAGAATGCCCATTTTTGGCCATTTGTTACACATTATCAAAGGTTATAGAAAAGTAGTAATGATGAAAATTTCATCATTTGTAGGAAATTTTATGTAAATTCATAATATATAAACCTTTGGAGGCTTAGGTATTGTGGCTTTGTGAGAAAATTAATTTTTTGGGCCCTTGTTTTTTTGCTATTTTTGATAAAGGTTGAAATGTCCCCTATATCTATTACTGTTCTCGTAGCACTACAATGGCTTATATTTTTTTTATTCTACGCCTTTTGATTACTAAATAACAGCAGTTTTAACAAAATCGGTGACATGACGAAAATCGCCAATTTTCATGACTATATGCATGGAAAAAAGTCGCAAAAATGGAAATTTTGGAAATTTTTTACACGTTTTCAAAGGCTCTAGAAAAATAGTCGTAAAATTATGAAAATTTCAGCATTTGTAGGAAATTTTATGGAGAATCAGAATATATTTTATATAGCTTTGAAGGCGTAAATATTTTGGTTTTGCGAGAAAATTAATTTTTTGAACCCTTGTTTTTCTGCTATTTTTGATGAAGGTTAAAACGTCTCCTACATCCATTACTGTTCTCGTAAGACTATAATGGTCTATATTTTCTTATCCTACGCCTTTTAATTAGTAAATATGAGCAGTTTTAGCCAAATCGGTGACATGATGAAAATCGTCAATTGTCATGACTATGTATAGAAGAAAGTCGAAAACATGCCGAAAAAATGTCAATTTCTGGCTATTTTTACGCAGTTTAAAATGTCATATAACTAGGAAAAAGAAATAATATTTAGATATAATAAATAAAAAAATATAAATATTTGTACTGTAATAATACCAGATTTGAAATAAGCTTTTTACCTCATAAGGGAAAACTGTCATTTAAAGAAAATAAAGGGGCCAGGGTAGTGAAAAATCTAAATTCTAATCTCATAGAAATTAAATAAAAGGACACAATGGTTATTTCCATGAGAGAACATCCCAAATGGACATTTAAGTCACCCTAAAAGACTTCATTTTCCGCAGAAAATGTCCATTGTATTTTATATTTCGCAACCATACTCACAGAAATGCCCTGGACTAAGGACTAATAGCAACGAGAGAAACCCTTATAATGAAAGTCATTTGCAAGCCCTTATACATATGTCACGATCCAAAGGGAAATTATATATTATTTCTGGATAATACTATTATCCAGAAAGGTCATCTTTATTCTAAATTTAACTCGAGTGGTTCGGTTTAATCTCTACCCTGGTTTGCCGGCCTTTTGTTGAAAGAAAATTTAAAAAATAGTAATTACATTAAATATATTGATCCTAAATATATCACGTATATTAACTACAGCACCAAAACAATTTTCTATAAAAGCTTTATAATGTAACGGAATGTTTAAAATATTGCTAACCTCCCATGTCCCAACATTTCCCCCAGCAAAATATACAATTTATTAAACAAAAGCTTACCACAGCAAAACCGTTTGCAATATCTATAAAATAACATACTGTTGGCATTTTGACATTGTTAATAAATATTGCAATGGCTTCAATTAGCTTCATATTTATTTTCATCCAACTATTAAATTTGACAATTCCTGTCATGGTTCAACATGTTTTGACCTCTAAATTACCACAAAAATTCATAATTTACAAATTCTATTCATTGTTAAATCTATATATTGAGCTGTTATTTTTGAAAGTGGTATAAGTCCATTTTTCCAGGTTTTGCATTTGAATTAATTTAAAAATATTAGTAAACCTTATTTTTTTCGAGTGATGTTAATAACACTATACACCTTTTAAAATTTGTTATGAAATAAAAACCATTACAATTCTTATAAAAAAAATAAACGATTTTATTTAACTCCAAATGGACTTATACCACTTACAAAAATAACATTACAAGAAATAAAAACAGGAGTAAATTTAAGTCCATATCTTTATAGACATTAGCCTAAATTGAAATGGATTTTTTTATGTAAAAAGTAATAACAATTAAAATGAAAACATTTAAATACACGAATAGACGATAATAACCAAGTTTAATAATTTAATTTCAGTTATATTAAAAATATAAAAATGAAAATTACTTCGTTAAGATCTTTAAACAAAAAAAAAATATTATAATCAGCTGTATTTTAGTTAATTTTAATTAACTGCTAGACTTTGTTATCTTATGTCTAACATTTGAAAGGCGAAAACTATTGTGAGATGTGCCTATCGGCATCGCTACAACTCGAAAATCCACATCTAAATATGTGATTTAGTTTGATAATGAGACAAACTTTTGGGATGAGGGAATAATTGGTTTCATTACTTCCACCCTTGTTTATTTATGTTAGATACAGCACACCGTTTCGTCTCAACGTATACTAGAATATAATATACTACAATTCCTATATTTATCTTATATCGATTTAGAATTTATTCAGAGCTCGAGAAAAAAAAATGATCACAAAGTAATCATATTCATAAAATTATGAAAATTTGAGCATTTGTAGGAAATTTTATGTAGATTTCTTGGCTTTGTGAGTCTTGGCTTTGTGAGAAAAAAAAATTGTTGGAGCCCTATTTTTTATGATGGTTAAAACGTCTCCTATATTTACTACTGTTCTCGTAAGACTACAATGACCTATATTTTATTATTCTGTGCCTTTTAATTAGTAAATAATATCAGTTTTAACAAAATCCGAAAATCGTATGGAAAAAAGCCGAAAAAATTACCATTTTTGGCTATTTTTTACAGATAGTCAAATGCCATAGAAAAATAGTAATCATAATCACAAAATTATGAAAATTACAGCATTTGTAGGGAATTTTATGTAGATTCTGAATATATATACCTTTAAAAGCTTAGATATCTTGGTTTTGTCAGAAAATTAATTCTTTGAACCCTTGTTTTGAGCTATTTTTGATAATGGTTAACACGAGTCTTACATCCATGACTTTTCTCATAAGATTACTATGCCCTATATTTTCTTATTCTAGGCCTTTCAATCGCCAATTTTATATTTATCTTATATCTATTTAGAATTTATTCATATAGACCAAAAAATTGTTTCAATTTTGAAGATATATAGGCAATACTAATTTATTGTGTAAACTTTGAAGAGAGATGCAATATGTATAGAGCTGACAAAGTAATATTTTTGGTCCGAAAACAAATATTGAGATTGTTTTCTGTTAAAACATCATAGGGGCAAAGAGTATTCTCTTAAACTTTGATGGAGGGCAATATCATTTTAATGCCGGATCGAATATTTTTATATCTGAAACAGGAAGACGTAAATATTTTTATTAGCTAGACCAGACTTGCATATTTTACAGCCCCAGAATCGGAATATATTAATGAATTATGAAAATCGCGCTGTTTTTTTTATTCAAAAATTAAAAGCCCTTTCAGTTCAAATGAATTTTTACAATTTCAAGCGTGCAATAAAGTTAGTTTTCATCTGAGCGTTATGAATAAAACATCTTTTTATTGCCAGTGGTAATGTAGAATCCCGTCTATATCCATTCTAGTCCAAGATAAATTTTTCAGTTTGACTAAATACTACATACTAGACAAACACATTATAACCTGATCGGGAAAGAAGTAAAAACTATAAGGAAAATTATCAATTTCAGGATCAGAAAGTTTGATAAAATTAATATAATTTATTTCTAAAAATATCGTTAAAAGATATTTTTATTTGGTATACCGGGTGCGTCTTAAAAGTGACTAATCCCTATATCTTTCTTATTCTTTCAGATAAAAAAAACGAGATTTGGTACGTTAGTGTATGATATAAATTAGGATTGATTGACGTATTTGTTTCTGGTCACTTCCTGTGTCACCGGAAATGACTACAACTTTTTTTCGATAGAAAATAACACTCTGAACAGAATGACATATCATATGCCAACTTTTGACAGTTTGGCTTAAAAAATACCAAACCAACTAAAAACAATAATTTTTAATCAAGGAGCCTTCGAAAAATATATTTGATCGTCTAATGTTTTTGGGGTCTTGTCCTGACCTGTTCAAAGATGCCTAAATCGTATTTTAAAACATATCTCAAGTTTATCAAACGGAACAAGGGTGGCTCATTAACATATTTGAAAAAAGAACTTTTTTACGAATAATTTGATACCACACACTTGGTATTTCGTGTCAAATTCTCGTTATGAACCTCAAAAGTTGACATATGATATGTCATTCTGTTCAGAGTGTCATTTTCTATCGAATCGAAAGTAAAAATACCGAGGGTGTCATTTAAAAATCAAAAGTTCTAGTCATCAGTGACCAAAAACAATTGGATACGTCAATCAATCCTAATTTATGTCATATACGAACATCCCAAATCTCGGTTTTTATCTGAAAAAAATAAAAAAGCTATTGGGGTTAGCCATTTTCGAGACGCACCCGGTATAAGCGTAAATATTGATTAAGGAGTGCGGACTTTAAAAATGAGATAAAATAGCATCTAATTATATAAGTAAAATGCATGGTATGATTTAAAATTATTGGTTAATTCCATATAATATATTATTTTTTTAGTGTGTATAATATATAATAATCAATACCCAAGCAACGATAATGTATAATTTTTAGACAACTAAAAATATGTGAATAAAGTTGAAAACAAAGTGTCATTTTATAGACTTCTTAATTGTACTTATTTGCCATATTTTGCTGCTACAAATGCGAAATTTTTAAGGGAGTAAATCAAAATCGATGGTGAAGTAAATAAAAGAGTTTATCGGCGAATCTGAAACCTGAAACTGCGTTGTGTTCGGTATTTGAGGAGGAATACAATAAATTTCTTCGCATTTAAATACGGAGCCACTCTACCGATTTCTACTGTTCTGAGACTAGCGAGCAGCTACGTAATATCTCGTATTTGTTCCAGGAAAATGGATTTGAGATGGTTTTTGCTGGCGCTCTTTTTGCTCGGCTGCTGCTTTTCACCTGGACTGTCGTTCAACGGTGAAATGGCCGAACAAGAATGTCCAGACGAGTGCGATTGTCATTACTTCCGCATCAATTGGGTGACAGATTGTTCCGATAGCAACTTGACTGAAATACCTTACGACGAACTTAGCATGAACGTATACGTTTTGGACTTGAACGACAATTTGATATCAGAAATTGAACCGTTCCCGCCAGACATTAAGATGAGGCGGTTGCAAATGGCAGACAATCGTATGACTGAGCTCAAAAAGGAATCTTTCACAGGTTTGATTTATTTCGATTTATTCCACTCATTTATTTATTTCCATTTATCGTGCTTCGAAATTTTATTTACTGCTTTATATGTTACGTAAAAGCTTCGATATAATTGGTATATAAACAATCAAACTCCGAAATTAATTTATAATTGATAATTTTGACCCACACAAAATAAACATCGCAAAACAATAAGCCTTTAAATATAATTTTGTTGTTGCTATTTTAAAATGATCTATTGTTTTCCAGAAAATACTTTTTTAATAAATTATGTTAACAGTATAAGAACAATTCTATTTCTACATATTTAATAATATTTTTATTTAAATTAATAGTTTTACATATTATTTTATTAAGATTGTTTGAAATTTTTTGAAACTTTTATATTTTCAATAAGGGAACATTTGTACCGATTAATGATGGTGATTTGTTTAATAATATTAATCCCTCTTCAAAAGTTCTCTGGAAATACTAGATATGAAATAAATGCTGAAGAAAAGTGATAATAATTTTAGCAAACTAAGAAGTTATAAAATACTAAGATAGTAAAAAATGTATCTAAATACACGATACAAGATGAAATTAAAAAAGGATTTCAAATATAAGATGAAAAGACCCATTTTGTATTTTATATCTGTATTTCAAATACATGTATCTAAAATAAGTCAGTGCTTTCATTAAATTTGAAACATCTAAAAGCATGTTTTATTAAAATATTAATATTTTAACGATGTTTCACAGAGAACCAACCACAGATTCGGTACTATTAATTAAATAAAAATATATTAAAATGGTTTTTAAACCTTTATAAGACCTCCAGAGCTTTTGTTTATTTACTGTGTTTTAAGGTCACATTCAATTCTATTTTTTTGGTCATCGACCAGTTTAAATCCCTAATTACGGATCACATTGTAGTTACATCGTTTTGAATACGTTATTCTGATTTATTTTTTCCATTATTGGAAAGATAGGAGCGTAACAAAATTTCACCTTGATCTCTAATCGCTGCGAATTCGTTTTCTCATGTAAATATTTTGTTTTTCAGGTCTGCATTACTTAATAGATGCAGATTTTTCTGGAAACGCCATTACCAAAGTAGATCCTCACGTGTTCGAGTAAGTCTTGAAGGAATTTTCAATTTTATATAAATAAGCCTCTATAAGCATTTTTATCCGAGCAGGAAGCTTTAAAAATATTTGTCGATCTTCTCAAAGGGCTTCGTATATAATATAATAGTGATAAAATATGCATTGCTTTCTCATTTTTTTATACATATTTACAACAAATTGTTTCATGAATATAGTCCATACTGATATAGGGCTGCAATTTTAACCGTCAGCAGCTCTGATCTGCTATCATTTTTTTATCTTTCAATAGATTTACTTCTTATATTCCTTCACATATTCACTTATTCCAATAAAGGCTGAGAATGTCCGTAATCTATAAAATTGCTTTGTCATTTTTTTTCGTACGACTTATGAGATTTTTTTTATTTCATGGCAGGAATAGTTTTCTCAATTGACGGGCGTGTAAAGAAATATTTGCTAAAACCAGGAAGGACGAAAAAATTTGTCTTTTGTTGGATATAATATTTATAAAAACTAGTGGTAAATTAAAACCACGCGATTAGTTGTGATGCAATACTAATAAAATTTTGCTGTGTAATATTCACTTTGTTTATTTTATAGTTGCATGCATTGAAAAAAAAAACGTTTCGAGAATGTAACTGTATTTTTTTCTTAAGATAATACGTATGTGAAGGTACACGGATTGTAACGAAGAATTTCTTTTACTTTTCAGCGACTCGGCTGGCTTCATAACTCTCGAGCTGCAGAATAATCCTTTAGATCCAGTGGAAGGCCCGTTCTTATCGATAAGTACGCTGCATTACTTGGACATAAGCAACTGTTCTATCGAGACATTGAACGACCACTTCTTCGACAATATATCTGCATTGGAAACCCTGGACCTATCGGAAAATCCTCTGAAAGTTATAAATACGAGATCTTTCGAACCTCTTACCAGTTTAGAGACTTTGAAAATGAACCACTGCAACTTAACGACAATTTCCGAAGACGCTTTCCTCGCTCAGCACAATTTGAAAACTCTCGAGCTCAGTGGAAATTATTTTGTGCGTGAAACCAACTGGGAAATTGTGTTCTCCAAACTGACGCTCCTGGAGAACTTGGATTTGCGCAACTCACATTTTAATCACTTGACAGCGACGCTTTTCGACCAGAACCATTATTTGAGGACCCTGATTTTGGCGGAGAACGACTTGTCTGAATACGACGTGGGCGATACTGTGAAGAACTTGGCGAATTTGGAGACGTTGGATTTGTCCTACTGCAATCTGACTGTACCCCTTTCTGAAGATACCTTCGCCAATGCCACGAAGATTCGCAGTTTGTATCTGTCAGGCAACACGTTGTTCGCCTCTGATTTACTGGTAGCGCTATCTCCGCTCACCAACCTGCAAAAACTGTCTCTGAGCAAATGCGGTTTGAGGCGCTTGCCGGATACGTTCCATAAATTCAAAAGTTTGCAGGAGTTGGACATATCTCACAATCCGCTCAACGACGCGTTTGTGAAATTATTGGCCCCGCTGGCGACTCTGGAATACCTAAATATGGGCTACAGTAATTTGTCGTATTTAGCGCCGACGTCTTTCTCGAAAATGACGTCGATACGGCGCCTCGTTTTGTCAGGCAACGACCTAAACAATTTGGAGGCGGGCTTGTTCGGAAACTTGACCCATCTGGAAAGTTTGGAACTGAACTTCTGCGGCCTGCGCCGTCCACTTAACGCCACTCTCTTTTTCAACAATTTCACCTACACGGACTTGACGGAACTTCAGCTGGCCGGCAACCCTCTTCGCGTGTCAAAAACAGGGCCGCTGCTCCCTAAACAACTATCCCGGCTACAAACTTTGGACCTGAGCAATTGTAATCTGACCTTTTTGCCACCGGACGCCTTCTTCTGGACCAGAAATATCACTACGCTTGTGCTGGCAGGAAACCACTTTAATTCCCCCAACGATTTCCACTTTTTGGAGCTCCTACCGAAATTAGAAGTCCTGGACTTGACTTATAACAACCTGACGAGCTTCGCGCCCAAGGAGATCGAGTTTAATCCTCAAATCAGCCGGCTCAAGTTAATCGGAAATCCCTGGAAATGCCAGTGTTCTGTGGCGGATCTTTGGGACTGGGCTCACATGGAGAAAGGGGATTTGAGCATTCTGGAAGGCTCGACCATTAGGGCGTCCGACGTCACCGTAGGCAAACTCAAACGCAAACGTCTTCTGGTGTGTAACTACGACGGTAGAGTTTCTCTGCCCATCATCATGAACAAGACAGCTCCGGGAAGAAAGCCATTCAAACAACAACAAAGAACCATCTCGGCATCCAACCGGACATGGGCTAAATATGTGAGGGAGTCGGGTTGTGAACCTTCTCCTGTATTCTTACACGCCAGAGCAACGAGGTCTGTGGGCTACATAAGCGCAGAGGGAGTGCACATGAAGTTGGCCCAACACGCTCCGAATACATGGGCTTCTGCTATAATTAACGCAAGCGCCATATACGCCGTTTTAATTACAGTGATTGGAGTTCTATTCGTGGTGACGAAGAACAGAATCAATGCCCGGCACGCTGATAAAAATAATTAAGAATAATCGTAGATTACAGTAGAGTAGCAAACGATGTGATGATTGATATTTAATTCCGAGTTTTTTCGATTAAAATAGATATTACTTTTAAGTCTGCCAATAATATATTATAATATTTTTATTTGCTAGTAAAAGACTGTTTGTTTAGACTCATTGTTAGTTCATTTGTATTATATTGTGATGTAAAACCGTTTCTACCCAAGTAATAACAAATATATGTAGATTTTTCGTTAGATTTGTTTTTTTATACAGATAAAAGGTAATATGGGGTGTTTTGCTGGTCCGCCGTCCCTGGTTTCGGAGTGTCGCTAAAAGGAAAATTCGATTTCCCAATTAACGTACTCGCACGAAAAGGAAAGCAATCTGGAGATGGCCACTTTCCGGAAAATTCACATTAAATCGTCGGCATTACCTAACCACAAAAGCATAATAGCAGCTCGCTGGCTGGTGTCGAGAAATGTTAGGATTTTGAAATTAATTCTATTGCGTCACGCAAGTGACAAACACCCAGTCCCTTCCACACAATAAATAGACCGTCGCCCCTCATTGTCTAGGGAGAAAACTCTTCTTCAGCCCTGGCACTGTAATTGCTAGTGCGAACGTGAAAGCTCTTGACATTTCATGCCCTTCTGGCTTCTGCCTAATTAGAGTAAGTCCACTTGTCATTTTATGTGAGCTCAAAGGCTCGTCCTATGAATATTTTCCGTGTGAATTGTTTTTAAGCACCTTTTCCTTATTAGGACATTCCTCCAATCGGCCTCAACGAGTTACGTGTTTGTTGCTCGTGTAAAGATCTATAATATTCTTATGTATATGTTTACCTGAGAACCATGAAAAGTGGTAGTGTCTTTGTTATTTTACATATGGAACATCCAGTATACTATTACATTTTTGTAAACTTGTTTCTTATCTCATAATTTTTCTATTATACTAAAACATATCTCTTATAGTTTTCAAGATAAATAAAATATGTGTAATATTGACAAAAACATTATTTTGAATAAGCATTGGTAAAACCATGAATAATTGAACATTTTTAAAGTTGAAATTTTGGTTATAAGTTAACGAAAGTTGATATATTGGATCTGTCTAAATCAAGTGATTGGATATTATACAGAGAAATGGCAAAAAAAAATTCGTTTATTATAAAATTGCACAAATCTTTGTTATTTTAATTGTGTTTTGTTGTTTTATTTAATATTAAACGGAAAAAAATATTTTTTTTGATCTCATGTTTATGTCAATTTTTTGTTTTGTCAACACATGTTTTATTTTTTATCTCCAAAGTACAATAGAAAAATTATGCTATGAAAGTATATAGTTTCGAAAAAATGTAATAACATACCAGGTGTTCCATTTAAAATAACAAAGATGCTACCACTTTAGTACGAAGCGGTTTCAATTAATTTAGACAGACAAAGTCAAAAATCCAAATTTTCAATAAAACACCGGTTCTCCATTTTGCAATTTAAAAACTACACTACAGAAAATAGTATTAATTAAAAACTGCAACTATGCAAACTAAACCATTTTGGATCCTTTACTTTGTTGACGTCTCTGTTTCCCTTTTAAAATTAACTAGATAGCGATCGGTTTTGGGCTTCACTCTGGATTGATTGATATTTTCCAGGTGATTTACAACACGGGAATGTTTAATTCTCTTTTACTTTCAATTCATTCTTCTACTTCTAACTTTGATTAACATGTTCCAGTTTGTTCTTTTTTTTTCTTTAATAAAATTACTTGCTCCAAATTTAATTAAGTAGGTACTTATTTTAATAAAAATAAATGTAAAAACAGCATGTTAATTGAAAAGCAAATTTTTCTTAAGCACGCTTGCTAATAATTTTCATTAAAAAACGAATACATTAATATATAATGACGTTTAGGCTTTTCGAAGTCTCCTTTTTCAATATTAATTTTTCCAGGTTTTAATCACTGTTTAGGTTTCCATGCGACCCTATTCCTAAATAGCCTCTAAATAATACATTAATTTTCCCTTAAGTATATGCTTTTAATTTTCAAATTAAATATTCATTTTGGCTTGCCTTTGAATATGCTGGGAAAGAGACCTGGCAGTTAGAAGTCTATATAAACAACTTTAAAAGGAAATATTCATTTATTCTGCTTCGTCCAGTAAGTGAATCATTCTATTTACGTCGTTTTTACAACGTACAAGATGCGTTAAATGGACTTAATATGTGTAATAAGTTCCATTAAAGATTATTGCTGGTCTAAAAATGGTATTCACAGCCACATCTTTCGAAATTCAAGCTAACCAATCGCTCGTACATGACGGAAAATGGAAAATACAATACGGAATCGATCAAGCCCTGTTGAGCCCTTTGTGGGTCTTTAGATGGCGCTGTCTTCGTCCATTTTCCGGCTCGTTTCCAGGGATCAATAAAGGGCGAAATTATTTTCTCCTCGCTTTAGCGGGCCAGTCGTCACCTGTAACCATTGAACGATGGCTTTTCAAATTGAGAGGTTAAAAACGTAATCCAAGGCAAAATGTAGAAAGCCCGGAAGGTTTTCGGATATTTTCCTGTTGGAAATGAACGAAGAATCGCCCCTTTATCCGATTTTCCACGAAATTCTAAGACCAATCGAAGATTTAGGCTGGATATTCCTTAATGTTTTCTGGGGAAACGAATCAGTAAGTGGATTTGATTAAGTTTGATCTTTTTTCTCTTAATTTTCTTCTCTGCAGACTTTTGAAGACATAATATTGCTTATAGGCACCATCGTGGCTTTTGTAGCCTTTATTTTGTGGTGTTGCTTTCCGGTAATACCTAAAGATGGTTCAAAAGGTGTCCAGCATTATAACAGCAATCATTACAAGGACTGTAACAGTGATGAAAGGTACAACCAAATCGAGTACGAAAGTAAAATTTAATTTTTATTATAAGAGGACCCTATGACAATTTACGTTAATGTAATTTTTCTAATTCTATTATAAATTAACTCTTAGTCAATAACACGCAATATAAATAAATGCCTTGGTTTCTCATTAAAAAATAAAATAGCGCTAATAAGTTTTTCTCTAATACAATAATTTCATATTTCATTAGATACATTTATATAATTCAATGCAAATAAAGGTAGATAATAATTTTAATAGCTAGTGGGCCTAAATTTTTACTTCAATAATATTCAAGTTTATAATGTAGGTATTTTTGAATGTAATAAACTGTAACTAATAAAATTAGGCAATATTAATCAGCAGAATCGCTATGTAATAAATTATTTCCTATATTTTTTTAATAAATATACTATGTAAATTTGCATATAATTTTAGTCATCCCTTATAGTTTTTATTTCAGTTTCATCCCCATAGAGAGAGCTCCATCTAGTTTTAACAGAACTAACTACATGCTACTCTAACCTAGGAATGGGTTTATTCTTCAAAAACATCGATACTGTTATCCCTGTTATCCCATCTGAGCGAAGATCATATAATATAATGTAGTCATTATGATATGATTACAAGTGCTAACTATACGGCCAATCATTTTACAAAAAGGAAAATTAATAATATGCAGTTGGTTAACATACACATGAATAAAATGTTATATCTATAACTATTATTTAATTATGTACACCATTATCACCAAATAATCGATATACAGATCATATATAAATAATATAGGATTTAATATATGCTGATCCCTGCTAATGCTAACCTCATTTTTAGAAAATGTTTTCAACTTTTTACTTTATCTGGGTTATTTTGTTTATTTCTCAAATATATTTTATAAAAAAGTATTTTAAAAAATGTGATACCTGCCAGATCATTCATAGGAGTGACAACTTTCTAATTATTAATAAACAGGCCGACATTAAAATTAATAGCAACAATAAAAACGAGGTAATCATTGAAAGCTTCATTGTATTTATTTTTTTTTGATATTTTATTTACTTACGATTTAAGGAAACCGTTCAAACTTTTCTCAGAAATACCTGTCCAGAATTGACCAATCAAAAGCTGTTTCATGAATTTTACTTTCCTCACCGTTTAGATTATTCCACTAGTGGGATTTTGTGCATTCCAAAAACGAGAGAAGTTTGTAAAATTGTCTCGGCAGCATTTTCTGCGAGAACAACTAAGAAATACTATGTAGCACTTGTTAGAGGTGTACTTTCATCAAATTTTATAGATGTAAATATATCTGTAGGTAAAAGAAGTTTTGGCAATATATATAAAACGGAATAAAATAAAATTAATAATTACTAACTTTCAATTAATTCCAGGGGATGATTTAAGAGAACCCCAGATCCAAAAAATGTGCACTAGTAGTGAAAAATCATTTTGCAAAAATCCTAGATCTGCAAGGACAATTGTGATGGCCTTGGAGCAAGGTATCTATAACAATTACCCAGCCACAAAAATATTGTGCAGACCAATAACTGGCAGGAGACACCAAATCCGTGTTCACTGTACTTTTTTAGGTCATACAATTATAGGAGACTATACTTATAGTAACAGGAAAGATAATAAGACACCAAGAATGTATCTACATGCTATCAAGTAAGAATTGACTTGTGTAGCATATTCATTAAATATAATAATGAAACCTTTATTTTAGATTAGTTTTGCCCAATAAATTAGAAGATATAAATGTATTTACTGATGATCCTTTTACCCATATCAAGGGATGGAAGAAACTTAAGTTATTTCAAAGCCTATCTTCCGGTTATATAGAAATTGATAGATATTCGAATTCATTAAATTGCTTATGATACACATTTCCTGTTTTATTTTCTCCTGTCTTTCATTACTATAAATGTCGGTATATTTATAAAAAAAAATCGATCTCTTCCAAACATCCCTATTTTTTTAAGGGTTATGAATTTTGGAGGGAATTATAAGAATTTTACCGCCAAATTCCGCCATGGTAAAAGAAAGAACAATATACGACATTTTTTTTGCATCATGATTTGCCGCCACAGAATGCTTTAGGAAGAGTTAAGTTCAGTTTAACCAAGAAGTTTTGTATTCCCGTTTAGTTATTCTGATATCATAATTTTAGTCGTAGTCTGAGCTATTCATTCTATGTAATGGGCATAACAGGTCTTTTGCCTTTTCTGGAGGGTGCAACAAGACCATGCCACGTGTCCGAGTTCAGGGGAGGCACGGTAGCAGTTGATTCATACTGCTTACTACATAAAGGAGTTGCGGCCAGTGCCTTCCAACTTGCCAACAATCAAGATACAGATAAGTAAGAAATTTAAATTAATTCCTTCCAATAAATTTTTGACACTATTTTGTTATCTTAGTTACGTGAGGTATTGCTTAAAGTATGTTAATATGCTTCTGCAACACGATATACGTCCCATAATGGTATTTGATGGACGTAATTTACCCGCGAAAGCAGATACTGAATTAAAAAGGCGCGAGTCGAGGCTTAAAGCCAAGCAAATGGCTAAGCAACTGACTCAGCTAGGGAAAACTACCGAAGCCGAGACGTATTACAAACAGTGTTTAGAAATTACGCCCGAGATGGCACACAAATTAATTGTTGCTTGCAGGCAAAAAGGCGTTGATTGCATTGTCTCACCCTACGAGTCAGATGCTCAACTGGCCTTTTTCAGCATTAAAGGTGTTGCACAATGCATCCTAACAGAAGATTCTGATCTCTTGGTATATGGTTGTGAAAAGGTATTATTCAAACTGGACTCGCGTGGAAATGGAAAACTGGTCGAATCACCCAAAATTCCAAAAGCGATTAGAATGCGCGAGGACCAGTATTCATTTGAGAAGTTCCGATTTATGTGCATATTATCGGGTTGTGATTATGTACCATCATTAAGTGGCGTAGGATTAAAGAAAGCCCTTGACTTCATAAGAATGATCTCAGACACGGACCCAAATAGGGTATATTGTATATTTAATAAATTCAATAATATAAATTATTAGTATTTAATTTTAGTTCCTTAACAGAATCCCGACGTATTTAAAAATAAAAGCAAAAGTGACGGAAACTTACAAGGACCAATTCATGGTAGCTAACGCAACGTTTTTGCACCAACTTGTATTTGACCCGTACAGAAAAGCACTAATCCATCTACGCGACCCTGGCGAAATGGGAACAGATCCCAAATATTTAGATTCCCTTGGGGAGAAATTTGAAGACCAGTTGGCGTATGGAGTGGCAATGGGGAACCTCGATCCCATTAGTTTTACCAAAATCGATGCTTGGGAACCTCGAAATGTATGTTTTAAATTCGTTTCAAGTACCAGTACTAATTTTTGATTGTTTTTAGGTGCCACAATACAGTATTTGGTCGGGCATTTTTACCCGCCGTAATAAACGAACACAGAAGAATACTCTTGATTCCTTCTTGATCCGACTAAAACAACCACTTACATCATTTGTATCATCAAAACCAACTCCCGAAAATACTGACACACAACCATCAACTCTTGATGATGATATTCAAATTATTGAGCCCACATAAAAAAATATAGCACTGTGTACCTTAACTAATTTAATGTTTAGTAAAATTTTTTAATCAATCTTTTTTATCAATGTATGTGTAATTGTTTGAAATATAAATGTTCCTGGAACAAACAGAACTACCTGGTTTAACTAAGTAAAAGTAGACCCCATAAGTGGCACCAAATGTGTTGATTTACGCAGAGTTGTTAATCCTAAGTGCGGGTGTATATGCGCATCCGTCGTGCGTCGTTCCGTCACTCCAATGAGGTTGAACTTTGATTATGTCATTTTCAAATAAACCAATCGCTTAAAATTACCGAAGGACAATGCATGACGGATGCACGTAAACCCAGACAAACGCTACAATAATGTGGTGTATCAATAAATTTTAGTTAATCTAATTTTTATAAACATTCTGAACTAAAACACATCCACTTACTGAAAATTTTATTTCTTATCAAAAAGTTTTTAGTAATATTACGTACAATCCTATCAGTTATTTTGTTTGTAATTAAGAAAATGTTTTTTATATAATCGTAAAATAAGATCTATTCTAAAAAATGTATATGTCAAAATTAAAAAGTATAATATATGGTAGCTTGAATCAGAGATCGGTTACACCCAGAAGTTTATTGAAAAATCCTCTTGGGTAGAGTTATATACACATATTAAGTCCAGTTAATATTTATCAACTAATTATAAAATACCCTATCACCAAAGATTATTTTTTATCTGGCCAGAGACGCAGCGAAGGGAAAGGATCAAACAGCCCCAACTTCATTTGGTACCTATTATTATAAGTCGATATTTGCATGAAAATCGCCCCCACATCTATCACCTTCGCGATGCCTCTGCATCTGGAGTTTGATAAGAACAAAAATTCCGAAAAATCAATATAATTTGGATCGTGAAACTGCATTTCCGATTTGACCCTCAACTTATCTCTTCAAAGTTGCAGTTGAAAACGCGATTTCATAAATCCCCTTGTATATACATTTTAGAATTGCCCTGGTTTAAAAGAAAAATATGCCACCAAAAGTACCAACAAATAAAAAAAAATATAACAACTCTAGTTCATATCAATTTTTTCACAGACAAGCTTTTGTTACAATTATCGACTAAATATACCTAAAATAGATCTGACAACATATACCGGGTGCGTCTCAAAAGTGGCTTGCCCCTATAACTTTTTTTAATTTTTTTTTGTAAATGAAAAAACGAGATTTGGTATGTTAGTATACGATATAAATTAGGATTGATTGATGTATTCAATTGTTTTTGGTTACTTCCTGTTTCACCGGAAATGACTACAACTTTTGATTTTTAAATGACACCCTCGGTATTTTTTTACTTTATTTAATAGAAAATGGCACTCTGAATGGAATGTCATATCATATGCCAACTTTTGACATTTTCGCATATGGTTTATTGAGAATTTGACTCGAAATACCAAGTGTGTGGTATCAAATTATTCGTAAAAGTTCTTTTTCCAAATATGTTAATGAGCCACCGTCGTTCCATTTGGAAAAATTGAGATATGATTATAAATACGATTTGGGCATCTTTTAACTGGCCAGGATAAGACACTAAAAACATTAGACGATCAAATCAATTTTTCCTAAGCCTAGGTGATTAAAAATTAGTGTTTTTAACATAGCAATGGCACTCTAGATTGAAATTTAAAACACGATTTATATGATTTATTAAGCGAGAATGTCAAAAGTTGACATATTATATGTCATTCTATTCAGAAAAAATACCGAGGGTGCCATTTAAAAATCAAAACTTGTAGTCATTTCCGGTGAAACAGCAAGTGACCAAAAACAATTGAATACGTCAATCAATCCTGATTTATGTCGTATACGAACAACATCGTTTTTTTATCTGAAAAAATAAAAAACTTATAGGGGTGAGCCACTTTTGAGACGCACCCGGTATCTGTAACTAACGGGGGATGGGGCACTGAAATATATATATTAAAGGCGTTTTTTAAAAATATATACGGAATTTCAAACGCTATCCCCCGTCAATGATACTGTAAATCAATAAAATAAATTTAACATCAGTCTAGCATTGAATTAATAAGTCTAGCCTATTAAACATAAATTAAGACCCAACATTTCCAAACCTACTGGGGGACGGGATACTGAAATCGACTTCGTTTATTTAAACAAAAACGTCTAATTTCGAAGGCTATCCCCCTTTAACGACTACAAGAAATAAAAGAATAAAATTAAGATCATACAGCGATATCAACTTAATTGCCATATACATATATTAAAAATAAATTAAGGCAAACAGTTTCCAATCTAGTGGGGGATGCGACACTGAAATATATGTAGGAATATATAAAAGGTCGTCTTATTTAAAAAATACACCAAGAAATAAAACGTATCCCCATTCAATGCTTCTCTGTAAAATAAGGAAATTAAATTAACATCATAAGCTAGTATTGAATTCGTAAAAATATCTATTAAAAATAAATGAATTAAGGCCCCTTTTATACTAATCGATCACCAATGCAGCTGACGCGTAGCTCACGGATGAATCGTTCATGTTGCGGCATTGACTGGATTGAGCATATTTTAAAAACTTTAGACTAGCATTTTGACTATTATCGTTCCTGAGTAACTCTTGTATTGCCTGAAACAACCCAACAGTAAATAAAAAGATTAATCGACTTAAATCTCCACACACCTGAAGCAAAATTCCTATTGGATGTCTACCACATATAGTGTTCCCATACTTTTTTAAGTAATTTGTGAACTCTGTGGGGTTTAAATTTTCAATGATATTCATTCCCTAAAAAGTGGCATAATTTATTCCATAAAAAAAATGGACAGAAGTATATACACAGATCTTTTCCCATTATATAAAATTATAAAAGGCCAAGGTAAATAGGACCAGGTAACAGAGTAGTAACAAAAAAATAAATATAAAAAGATTTTCTCAAACCTACCACACGATCTAATCCCTCAATTGACTGATAAATGTTTCCATAAGTCCTGTCATAATATGTATATCTAAATCTATTACCCCAATGACAAAAATCGGATGAGATAATGAAGAGATTTTTAGGATCAGCCAGATACGGTGCAAGAATTCGTCCATAATATGCTTCTCTTTCTGGACTCAAAGAACCAACAAGGATAGGAACAATTGTAAACTGATTTTTAAAGCTAAAATTTCCATATCATTATGCCTATTTAAGAGTTTTATTGCAAAATGTATATGCATGCTTACTTTTCCATGACCTTTGCTATATAAGGTAAATGCATCTCTATGCTGTGCTCGTTCTCATCAGTATCTAGGTCCATCCATTCAAACTGGGCAGTCTTTTCCAATTCATTATTAACTATTTCAAAGTTGAAATAAATTGTTAAAGGCTCTGTATTATACAGGGCGAGTCTTAAATAGGTGCAAATATTCTTAGAGGTGGTATATTTCGACAACAGAAACAAGGTAATGGGTTTCTTTAGTGAAATTTTGTGTTTTTTGAAAAATGTTTAATTTTAATATCTTGATAATGCGAAAACATAATGGTAGAATAAATTTAGAGGAAGGGAAAACAGAAAAAAGTTTGAGAACCACTGGAACTATTTTCAAAGTAAAATATCTCAGTTATTTTGGTCTTATTTGAAAATATATTTCTTTATGGAGATCTACTAACTCTGAAAATATTTGCAATTAATTCAATTACCTGTTGTGTCTATGTGTAAGTCATAAAGAGGAGTTTTATATTTGTGTGCACTAGACAAGGCACAACCTGACAAACGTACATGATGCGAGGGTCCTAATATAAAAACTCTACGTACAACTACAGGACTTATTTGTCTATAAGCGTGACCGCCACAAGCCCCACAATACTGATATCCTGCATGTCTAAAAATAACAATAAGATCTAGATGCAGATTTAATCAGGTGATTATGATAAGTTTTGTGAACCATTTATGATACATACGGGGCAATGATAGCCCGTGCTGGGCCATGAATAAGGTCAGCTTGGTTTAACCAGTACTCAAGTTGTCTGGACAATTCAACTCCTAAAAGAAAAAAAAAAAAATACAGGTCATTGCCTTGGCAGGGACAAAACGACAACATTATTAAACAGCTGATGTCTGGCGAACATTTTTTCATTCGTAAGCAGTACCTGAATCGGTATACCAACTTCCGGCATGAACGGCTCTTCTAACAGGCATGTCTTCAGTCTTTTAATTACAATTAAATATTCTAGGTAATAAAATGTTATGTCTATTTGTATAATTTTATAGACAAGCTTGCTAAAGAAGCAGATTAAATATTTAAGCGCAAGCGCGATTATAAACACCATTCAGGAACAGATGAATGAAAATCAGATACAGGTTTCTGCGACGAAAGTTTTTCTGGGCCCTAATTTCATCTCGAATGAAGCGACATCTTCATGGGTTTCTGTAAACAAAAACTGACCACAGAAAATATATACTGACCCTTTATCTATGATACTGACCGATGATACTGACATTTTAACACTGACAGCTGACAGTGACAATCCCAACAATCACCTAAAAGAAAAATGGTTGATGTATGATATTTAGTTGATGCTTTTTGCTATTAAATTAATGAAAAAATAATGCAATTTAAATTGAAATGGATTCAAATGGGAAGAGAGGTTTACCACTGTTAAGAGAAATCATTAGAAGGCAACGTGAGGACTCTGATGTAAGGAAACATTTCATTAAGGCAGCTGAAAGCTATTGACCACTAAGTGCAACTTAACAAATTACTTTCTTATCGAATTGGAAACAATTTAAATATTTTGCTGGTGTTTATTTTTATATTAGTAAATAACACATATCGTATATTCGCTTAAACAGGTAGTAATAAAGGTAGATTATGAGTTACTGTCACTAATCAGACTTTTGTCAGAATTATCAATTTTTGTTGCTTAAAATTCTTTTTTTTTTTGATATTCAAAAAGATTTTAATGCCTCCTGCTTTGGATCTAAACTATACAGAACCAAAAGTACCTAAAATTCAACCCCATGAATATATAACACTGACTATAACACAGGTATTTTACATAATGCATTTTTGTACATTCATATCTGGTAATATAAGATAAATACTTGTTAATCTATTATTTTCTTTTTGTAGGGAGGAGGCACAGATTCTCCAGACCTGGATTTTCTTTATGATGACACTGACTGCCATGGAAATGAAATTGCTGAACTTTATAGTTACACGGAGCAGCCTGAATTACAACTTAATGTCAAGGTTTGTAGTATATTTTTCCTTTGCTTTCTAGTACTGTCTTTTTATCTGTAGGCATTTGAAGACCAAATGGAATCATATGAATTGCCCCCAAGCTGGCAAAGATTATCAGTAGAGAAGCGCCATTCTGTAATTATGAAATTGCTGGATCAACTGGAAAGTTCAAAAAAGCCACTTAGAATGAGGAGTGCCAGATGTATCCTGTACATAGCTCAAGGGTGTTGGGCTGAAATGCAATCTGATACAGAACAACAACACTGGTCTCGAATAAATTCCATGCTACTTTATCAAAATGGTGCTTTTAGTGCGTTTACTGATCTATTAAACATAGAAATTGAGTGAGTAGTTCATAGTTCCTCCAAGTGCATTAGTAAATGAATGTAAATATTGCTGTGATATATTTTTAAGGAATAGCACTGCAGCTCATGTAGCTATGCGAAAAATAGCTGTGTCACTAGCTGATTCTCAGGATCTTAGGGTTATTTTGTCTGTTCTATACACCATCACTGAAGTTATTAGAAATGAAAAAGCCTGTGAAAACAATGAATATAAAGAGGAGGTTGATTCCTTTTGTCATGAAATAGGTAAGATTTTAAACCTAAATAATGGATGTGCTATTTATTTTTTTTTCTCTTTGTAGGAAATGCTTATGGAGATGAATTATTGGTAATAAAGCTATTAGGTATGGTTACTAGGTTTTGTAGTGGGGCTGCACCACATTTTCCCATGAAGAAAGTGCTTTTACTACTTTGGAAGTTATTGTTAGTCTCTCTTGGTGGGATGGCAACTTTAAGAGTAAAGTAAATCTCTATGTTTTAAATAATTGTGCTTAATTAAGACATATTTTCTAGGATTTGAAAATTGAAAAGCGTAAAGCAACAGGTTTAACTCCACTAGATGAAGATACAATGGAAATAGCAAGGACAATGAGGGCCTCTTCACCTCCAGCAAGTGCATCCGATTTACTTGAAGCACAAAACCAAAAAAGAAACACACGACCGTTTAGAAGGGTAATTGAACTATTTTTTTGTAATGTATGTAATAGTAATAACATTTGTTTCAGAGCTTGATGAAGCAAAGTAGTCTGGATGATCAAGAATCATTAGGAATGGAAATGGAATCAAATGTGGGTAATGATAATGGTGATGATTTACCAGATATGACAGAATATGATGAACGACGCCCAAGTGACAATAATGAAGCTGGACAAATGTTCAGCAATCACAATGTTATTGGGTATCACCATCAAATGTCACCTCTCCCTCAACATGATCTTTTACCAAGAGGTCTACCATGGAAGCCAAAAGTCAGACAAAAGGATATTGATGCATTTTTGGATACTGCTAGAATGAAATTCCTGGGGTATACTTTACCTGGAGACACTACAACCTTATTTGGATTACCAGAGCCTATTCATGAAGGGCTGAATATCCTTAAAGAGGTATAATTATTAGAATTAAATGCCATATATTTAGATATACTTAAGTATTTGTTTTTGCAGCATGTGTATACTTCTTTGTCAGAACTGCAGATACAAAAGGAAGAGGAGATTGCAAGGAATCCAATGTCTACAAAAGAAGATGAAGTTGAACTTACACCTGCTGAAATACTCTATCAAGCTATGTTACCTAATTTACCTCAATACATGATTGCTTTATTGAAAATATTGCTGGCAGCTGCTCCAACATCTAGAGCTAAAACTGACTCCATCAATATTCTAGCTGATGTCCTCCCAGAAGAAATGCCGTAAGTGATTTTTATGCGTGAAAATATTTTTGATGACTATTAATCATTTCTAGTATGACTGTGCTTCAATCAATGAAACTAGGAATTGACGTTAATAGACACAAAGAAATCATAGTGAAAGCTGTTTCAGCAATATTGTTGCTCCTTCTAAAACATTTCAAACTGAACCATGTCTATCAATTTGAATTTATGTCTCAACACTTAGTCTTTGCTAACTGTATTCCTCTTGTATTGAAGTTCTTTAACCAGAATATTATGGCCTATGTTGGAGCCAAAAATGTGTATGATAAAGGAAATTATATATTTTATATGAAAACATTTGAAATAGTATATTTTTAGTATTCCTATACTGGATTTTCCTTCATGTGTGATAGGTGACCAGCCAGAATTAACAGGTGATAATTTAGAAATAGGAGATGCAGCTCCATTTTCATGGAGGAACATGTTTTCTTGTATAAATCTGCTCCGGATTTTAAACAAACTCACCAAGTGGAAACATTCAAGGATTATGGTGGAACTTTCTTTCTTCTCCTAAATATTCATTTTGGAAATAATTCTATATTTTAGATGCTGGTGGTGTTCAAATCTGCTCCTATCTTAAAAAGAACGCTGAAAGTTCGTCATGCCATGACGCAGCTTTATGTTCTAAAACTTTTAAAAATGCAGACAAAGTATTTGGGAAGACAGTGGAGAAAATCAAATATGAAGACCATCAGTGCTATTTACTCTAAAGTCAGGCATAGACTTAACGATGATTGGGCTTATGGAAATGGTATAACACCTTTTTTGTTTACTTCCCTGTAACTTTTTTCTTTTTCATTTACAGATTTAGATGCTAGACCTTGGGATTTCCAAGCTGAAGAATGTGCTTTAAGAGCTTCCGTAGATCGCTTCAACAATCGCAGATATACCCAATTAAACGTAAGTTTTGCCATTTTCATTGCTAGCTAAATTATGCATATTTATATATTTTTAGGATAGCGATTTTGAACCTGTGGATAATTGTTTAAGCAGTGTACTAGGAACTAATCATGAACTATCTGACAACTTCAAGAAGCACTATAGCCTTTGGTTGGAACAAGAAGTGTACGGAGATCCTATCGAATGGGATAAATTGTTATTAGATGAGAAACAAAAGTAAATCCTACGTCGTCTATCTGTCACACCATTTATATTTTTTTATACCTAAATTATATTTATTTTTCTTTTAACTTTATACACAAATGATTTATCATTGGCCATTTATCATTTTTATTTTATTTATATCAATTACAGTCATGATAAATCCAAAAATTATCGATTTTATTTTAAAACAGATCTTTTGTTATTTTGTTAAATGCAAATTAACATTAAAATTAACTTGTAAAAATAAACCACATGAATAAAATGAATAAAATAGTTGAAATGATTGATTTATTAATCAAATTACTATGTTACTGTTTCTCTTTTAGGAAACAAAAAAAAAAGTTTAAAAAGCCTTTACCTGTAAAGTATTGAGAGAATTAATTATTCAATTTTATTACAATCTGTAATTATCCCGGCGCATTCGCCATTTATTAGACGTATTTAAAATTTGATTTTTTGTATATACAGGGTGTCCCAGAAATAAGTGCAAGAAATTTAAGGTGTGGTAGATCTCGATAAAAGAAGACTATTTTCTCTTTATCGTTATATCGTTAAGTCCAAAATATCGGAGTTATTTTACTTTGAAAATTTCCAAAAAAAAATGATTTTTGGTAAAATTTTGAGAACCACTGGATCTTTTCTGGATTTTCTTTCTTGTAAATTTAATCTACTACCTATGTTGCCATATTATCAAGAAATTATATTTTTTAAATAAGAACTAAGAAAAATTTCAAAAAAATTTCCAAAAAATTCCGAATTTTAAAAAAAAAATTCGGGGAAAAACCTCATAGGCGTATTCTGGGACACCCTGTATAGTAAATAACGACTCATGAGGTATATAATTACTAAATATCTTGAATTTTAAAAAGCAGAAATATTAGATGCATTATCGATGGATGATTGTTTAGTAATGGATTAATAATTAATTCTAATTAAATAAAAATAAATGTCTTCAAATTTTTTTATATTTAAATGAATTTAAGGATGTCCGTGTCAAGTGAGTTGAGAAATTCCATTTCACAAAGCTTCCGACTACATAATTTCTCAATTACTTTTCATTTCAAACAAGCTATTTGCACATAAAATGCGACAAGCCCATAAGACAGATTTGTAATTCGCCCGCGACACAAAGTATCCATTGTTGTTTTATTTTTTCGAAAGTGACTGTTACTGCTTTGTATTAAGGAAAATCTCGCTTTTGATTCTTATGGGAGGTATCGAAATATTCAGCTGATTAAGACATGAATGGCATACTTACATATCAAATATATCCTCCCAATTAATTTATCATTTATGAAGTGATTAAACCCTGGAACATCTTGTTCTTCGTATTTCTAAAGCTAAAAATAGTCCTTTGATTAACTGAGTCAAACTGTATCGAAAGTTTATTTTTTAACTTCATAAATAGGGTATATGTTTACCTAGCTAGAAGTAATGAATTATGAAATGGCGCTTAATAAAAAAGGGAACTTGAAAAATTTATCGGAAGATTAATTTTGCTCATCGTTGCGAAAATACTTATATCAAAGCGGAATAGTGCTAATTAAATGGCTGAGGTCAACTCCTGAAAGGTTGAATGCTTGACCTTTTATGAAACTAGGATTAAAATTACCTATTTTCAGGCTGGGATTACTTTTCCGCAGATTCGACAAGTTCATTTCGGATATTTTCACTCTCTATTTTGGCCGTTACAATTCGAAACAATACACAGCATATATTTACCGAAACACTGATATTGGAGAAAGCTAGACCTTGAAAGAAATTTTACACATACCTACCAATATCACATTCTTATCTCATGAGTATTAAAATTCTGTCAAAATGGAAATTTAACTTTTCATTTTTACTGCTAAATCTTCAAGATATTACTACGATTTTTTTCTTACTTATATTGCAACAGGATATCATCTTGGAAACCGCTTTATTACATCCTGTTTCTTGCGTTACGAAATAGTTTGCCCCTTATTGTTACATAGTTTCTTGAATCATATGCCCATTATTTCGACATAATAAGCCATAAACATTTATGGCTAACTTTAAAAAGTAATATGTAACATCAGAATCTCAAGAAGACCCATGAATCACATAATTCCACCTTTATGTATAATTCCTATACATTACATTAACTTAACCAAGATAACAGGCTGTAATAATTCTAGTTTCCCAAGTTAAATCAAGCATGACAAGTTGTAAAAACCACAAAGTGAAGGAAAGAGTTCTACTTAGTTATTTAATTTATTAAATAATATGGATGGCCACGCTCTGTTAAGCAGTACGTGTTATTAATAGGCTACTAATATGCATTTCAGTCACACGCATCATTATTGTTTTTCATTCATGTTATAGATAATATATTGAATAAAATATTATGTAGTTTATAACATAAAATTTTCACAGATATCTAAAGGATATTTAAACTTTAACATGAAGTAAAAGTAAAAATTTGAGATTATACGCGTTGTTTATTATGCAGATAACGTAAAAGCCGAAAAGATTTTTATTTCGATTACACATAGATTAATATTCTTCGCGGAAGCTCGAAAGAAATAAAATTTAAACTTGTTTCTGTGTTATTACAGAAGAAAGTTAAATTTATACGAATTTCAAAAAGTATCTATGCTGGTCTAGGACATCCCTGCATACCAATAAAGAATACATTAGATTTAAGTAGAACATATCAAATTATATGTCTAAATTTTCACTTAAAAATTCCATTAGTTAAATAATATAAAAAAAAACTATTGCATTGATATATGAGCTGTTATTTTCGAAAGTGGGATAAATCCAATTTTTTAAAAAATGAGTTAGGGGCAATTTCAGTAAGATATAGACACATTCCTCCCGTATTTTTAATCATACATTCAATGGAGTACGATTTTTTTCATAAAGCCAATAAAAGGAATGTTTACTATAAAATGTCACAAAAAGTCCATTCTTAATAATTATAATTAAAATAATTTTCTTGTTGTAATTATTATTGATTATTGCTACTTCAGTGTACACTGCTCAAGACTATTATAATGAAATAAAGGCTTGCCGAAAAAAAAAATAGCATTATCATGTATGAAATGAAAAGAGAAGAATTTGTCTCAACCAAATCTCTAGAAGAGGTAAAAAAATACAGACGGAGTAACTGTAAACTGGCTTAAAATATGATATGTTGGATGAGGTTTACAAGGAATGAGCTTCATTTTGAGTCTAACGAGCCTAGTTTTATGGGTTCATTTTGTATGAATTGAGAGGAGAAGACTCTCAATAATATTCATACAATCCTAATACATACTTTATTTAGGTTTGCATTTATACAAAATTCCTAAGTTTTTTATTATAGGAGCTGTCGATGCCCGACGCGTTGTTGCCGGGTCCGTATAAAGTAGTAGGAAAAGTTCCTCTCTTCATAAAAATACGTAAAAATTAGGTTTTGATTAAAAATATGATGAGCGTAATAATCCTGCAGCCGGGTCTTAGACTAGAAGAAATTGGTGTGTAAGCTTTGTGTAGATTTTATGCAGGCGCATAATAAAAAAATGGCAGTGTTATTATTTGATGACAAAGACCTTTAAATATTTGGTGTGAAAATTTGCGGGCAACTACGTCAACGCGTATTGGCAATAAATTGTTATTTATGGAGATATCATAATAGTCTGTGATACTTAAAACCATACAGCCATGCCCGCTACTTTCATTATCCTACTTTCTCTACGGCCGCTTGACGTTTTCCGAGGCAAAATGCTTAAATCTTCCTCTTCGCGCCACTCAGGTGTAATATAGGTGGGGAAAAACGACTCATCTCAGTTAAAATATTGTTAACTGAATCTATATATTCTACTTATCCTGCTGGCTCGATGATATTTCCCAAAAAACTACCTCACAACACACACGCCGGCTCAAATACGTGGTTTAATGTTGTTTTTGTGATTCCATCTCCCTCTTATTGTTATATGCAATCGTCATGCGAACACAGGTTAGTGTATTACATGTGCAGTTTAGTGTTTTTTTTTACCATACCAGTGATTTTTAGTTTTTTTTTTAAATACTTATTAAGGACTGTGCTGTTTGTTTAAAAAATTTATTCGTAGTGAAATGTTTTTTTAATGTTATCAAAGGAAATAAAATAGTCGGAAAAGATAATTTATTAGGTAAAAAAGGTATAAAGCATAGCAATGTTGCATGCCATGCAACAGTTTGTGTGTGCATTTATTTTTTTTGTTCCAGTTACACGTGGGTGTATACCGGAAGTAACGTACATTGACGCAATGTCTTTAATTTCTCTTTAAATTGTAAAAATTATCGTAACTTTTTACCCGTACTAGCAGCAGGAAATGTAGATAATAGCCCTCATGTTAGTACATACATTTGTTTCGAAAGCCGGTTATTTTTCAAATTTTACATTAAAATATTAAAAAAGGAAAACGCTATACTCATTTAAAAATCGGGCTGAATGACCGGTAGATAAATCTGTTACAGCCGCCGAATAAGAAATGCAGGTTATTGAAATGAAAGTTGACCCTGACTGTGAAAGTAAATTCATTACCAGATATCCGCAAGTATATTATTAATATTTATTTAAAGGCGCAGCACGCCTATATGTAATACTTATTTATTGTAAAAAAAACTTGAGAGTGACACTAATTTCCAGTGTATTTTTTTAAATTACCTTATTTCAGTTAATTACTAGTTTATTGAAAACTATTTTAAAACTTCTAGAGCAATAGAAACAATAATCAAAATTAGTTGTTAGAATTGCACAACATTTTTCATTAATTTGAACTTAGCTACTTTTTTTGCTGTACACCTGCAAATGTAGAACGAAATCTTACTTTCTATAAATTAAAATAAGTTAGCGTCCCCTTTTTTCCTACTTTCGACAATTAATTATTATATTTTACGAAACTCATTGGGTTCGTTATCTTTTTAATTTGCTCGTCGTCATTATTCTCGGTCACGCAAAAACATTACTAAGAAATAATTTATTTTCAGGTGCTTCTTTTGTTGCTGTGCTCGACGTTGAACTTCGTTGTAGCCGTTGTGAATACTGGACAAACGAAGACAGCTGTCGAAGAATCCTCTGAAAACTCTAGTGGAAATAAGGAAGAAAATAGTGGAAGAAGACCTTCGGAAAGCAGCGAAGACTTGACTCAGGAGGGTTCTGAAACGAGCAATCGACGTGAAGCCACTGACCATTCTTATTTGCCACCTATATCAACCAGCGCTTTAAATCTACCCATTCCGGTTTACGGAGCACCCGATGCTCCTTCCAACAACGTGGTTTACCCTGCGCCACCTCCAGATGTCCCGCCAGCGCCTCCATCCTCGCTGTACGGACCTCCAAGCTTAGGTAAAGTTTACGGAGTGCCTCAGGTTAATCCTTTGCCACCACTTGCACAAAATTATGGACCTCCACCTATAAAATATGGCGCCCCACTTAATTTTGGCAAATACCCCTTGCCTTCTAAACCAGTATATGGACCTCCAAAACTTTCCTATGGACCTCCAGTAAAACCTTTCAAATTTCATAAGTTTCCTCAGAAGAATTTTGGTTTAAAACCTCCAAAACCGATATACGGTTTGCCGTCTAATTACAAAAACACAATTAACTATAATAATATAAACTTTAACAACAACAATCATCAAGCACTGCACACAAGTTCATTTTCTTCGAGCAACAGTCTTTCCTCTCTATATAACGGCTTATCAAGTCTCAATTATCAGTATGGAGCACCAGTACTGCCTCCAAAGCCAGCTCTTTCTGTACAATACGGTGTCCCGAACATAGGAGTGTCAACCAGTTATGGAGTACCAGAAAAGAACATTGTAGAGCCTCCAGCCTTTGCTTATGGTCCGCCTCAACCATCTCCAAATCCAAAACCGCCACATCCAGGGGCACCAGCTCCTCCAACGCCTCCCGATATTAAATACGACGGCTGGCAGCCCATTCCTGGGTTAGTTTCTAAGAGGCCTGTTGAGGAAGTTCACCAATTTAGTTCCCAGGGGGCAGGCTATGATTTGTCTCCCCCACCTTTAAGTAGCAATTACGGAGCTCCTCAGATATCTGTGGACATAAGTCACGAAAATAACGGTTTGGGCGATTCATATAATGCTCCAGTCGTTAGTTCAGGAAATAAAGGCGTTACAGACTCCTACAGTGCTCCTCTAGGAAGCGTGACTGGGTCTGGGGGAGTAGTCAGTTCATCGTTTAACACAAACCAAGGTTCCTCGTCAGTTTCACAAACAGATTCTCACAGCATAAGTCTAGATTTGTCATCGATAGGCTTGGGTCATGGTGCCGACATTCAGAGTAGCGTTGGTTATGAAATTTTCCCTCAAAGTTCTTCAGGAATAAATGGAGACTCTCAGATTAAGTTAGATGCTACGTACGGACCTCCCCAAGCAAACATTGTCGGTTCGAGCAGCTCCAGTCATTCATTTGACTCGTTCGGGCCATCGTTCCAAAACAGTTACAACCAACAAGGTCATAAAGAATCTGGATTGAGTTTAACCGTAGGCTTAGTTCCCCCTGGAGGTACCTATGGAGCACCTCCAAGCAGTCAGTATGGAGCTCCATTACATACAAACACTCACACTAATTACAAACCTGCAAGGAGGCCTATTTTACATAAAGAACCTCTTCCTCATGGTGTATTCCAAAATATAGCCAAAGAATCTTTCCATAAAGACTTAAAAACATTTGGATCCGGATCTAGTGACTCTTATCTGCCTCCACCGCCCTCATCCTTGCCTAGTACGTCATATGGCGTTCCTAGCAGTAATGCTGCTATTTCTTTCCAAAATCTGGCACACGGATCTTCCACAGCTGGCATAGATCATCACTTACAACTAGAAACTGTTAATGCTCTTCCTTTGACGAGTTACACTAGTCCCTTAGGCTCTATTGATGGAAGTTATGGCATATCTTCTTCAGGTGGTTCCAGCGTAGGGTTAGATTATTCACAACCACCGATAACTATTGACTTAACTCAAGGCAAACAATTCGGACTATCTCACGACTGTAATCTTCACAAACAACTTCAAGTGCCATCCTTAGCTTACGGAGTGCCATCAGCTGATAGCTACACATCTTCTCTTTCAAGCCTCACAACCAACATCGCCATCTCTCAACCTCAGACTGTAGTTCCACAACCAACTTATGGAGTACCGCAAGGTCACATTTCTGTGCCTTCCGCGGAATATGGACCGGCAGATTTAGATCACAGCTCGTCTGTTAAGTCTGAAGTGAAAGCAAACACCGTGAGCGAATCAGAGGAAGAAACACATGGAAAGAGTTATGGAAAATCCGTAGCGGAGAGTTTTGGTCCAAACAGCGAACTAGTAGAGTCTCAAAGTATAGATCTAAATAATATTCCATTACAGGGAAGTTTAGGAAGTTACACGCTTCAAATTCAGTCCTCTGATGGAGGTGTTGGAGTAGTACCGCACACACAAGTTTTGAATGAAGGACTCTTGCAGTCCATTCTCCAAGCTATAGAACAACCTGGTCAAAAAGGAGAAAATAAATATCCTATAATATTACAGCCAAGCGTTCAACAGAAGAGTTATGCACATAATAGAACAGAAAGCGATTTTATCAACAATCAGCCTCAAGCTTCAGAAATAAACGAGGTAATCGTTGAGGCACCAAAGGAAAACAGTGTTGAAGATAATCCCGAAAGCTCAGACAATGAGGAAACTTTACAATTATTAGATACAAGTAACATAGCTCTTTACTACAAAAAAGAAGACGACTCTAAGAAGAACGAAATCGGCGATAAGTCAGATGAAAACAAAGTGGACGACGAAGAAAATTAGAAAAATATTAAGTGATAATATGTAAAAAAATAATTGCTCAAGTTTTGTTTGCCATTGAGTGTTTTGGAAGTCTCGTTAATTTAAAAAAAAATAAAGAATAACATTTATTTCTTATTGTAAAAAGAGAAAAAATAAGTTATGAAAATGTTATTGCTTTAAGTTGTACATAGGAGAAGCATTTTGCTTAGTTAATTAATTTATTTGTCGTAAGTTTTATTTATTTATTCTTTTTTATTATTATTATTTAAATAAATGCTTTTAAAATAAAGACATGCGATGTTTGTTTATCTCCAAAAAAGTCCTATAGGTATTTCTATTTTTTTTATTCAACTATTAATGTCATTTTAACATAACGTCAACGGTTTTTAGAGACGTATTTGTTGAAAAAAAACTAAAGTGTTCTTGAATAGTTAATTTATATATTTTTTTATAAGTTTTTTTCTTTGTTCTTTATGTTCTTTTGCTTCTGACCGCGACAACGGGAAGATACAGGGTGTCCCAGAAATAAGTGCAAATATTTTTAGGGGTGGTAGATCTCGATAAAAGAAACATATTTTCTCTTTATCGTTTTTCAAGTAAGTCCAAAATAATGGAGTTATTTTACTTTGAAAATTTCCAAAAAAGTGATTTTTTGCTAAAATTTTGAGAACCACTGGATCTTTTCTGGATTTTCTTTCTTGTAAATTTAATCTAATACCTATGTTGCCATATTATCGATAAATTATGTTTTTTAACTAAAAACTAAAAAAAAATTTCGAAATTTCAAAAAAAATTTTTCGCGGAGAAAACCTCATAGGCGTGTTTCTGGGGTTGAACTATACTACCAGTTAAAATATTTGCACTTATTTCTGGGACACCCTGTATATACTTCCCGAAATGTTAAGCATTTTTTTTGTCTGTTAGGCATAAATTTGTTTATTAGTAAATTACTGCTGACAAGTTGGTCTCCGTTGGATCGCAGCAGTGTTTACAAAAATAACTATTTTATTTTGTAGATTTTTTTAGAGTGCAAGTGAAAAAAATACCCATAGACTTTTTTGAAGAGATTAATCCCGCCAAAAATGTATAGACATTTTTTATGTTTCTTTATATCTGTTTTCTTTTTGAATACCCCCAAAAAAAGATTCCGAAGGATGTTCCAAAATGGACGACAAATTTTTAATTAACCAATTGTTTGCTGGAACAATGAATGGTTCATACAATGACAAGCCAGTATCACAAAAGGAATAAAGAAAATTTCGGGTCACTACAGAGAAATCTTTACCAGTAAAAAATCCTTTATACTTGCAAGTTTTCAGTTCTTTCCAAAGGGCCGCTCGAAGGGGTGGGGCAGCCTCTCTGGACCCGATATGAAATATGAAGGCATTAAAACAATGCGATAAAGGACAAGGCCGAGTGATAGCTTAAGTGCATGTTCTGAAAACGATATGCGTATCGATTTTTCGGACATGTAAAGTATCAAACGCCATTAGCGCCAATGTAACCAGAGAGGGGGCTCGAACTTTTCGAGGGCTGATCACCCTAATCATTTCCAATACGTCCGATATATCAGACAGAAGGAAAAAAATGGCCATCGGTCTCATATTTCTTTTTAATTCGATTCATCGATCGCGAAAGGCTTAAATGCTAATCTTTAACAAAGTCCTGTGGATAAATCTACAAAATAAAATAGTTGCTTTTTTGTAAACAAACGTCAACAAAACGTTAACGGTTTTATAGATGTATCTGTTGGAAAAAAAATAAAGTGCTCTTGAGTAGTTTATTTAGATATTTTAAAAAGTTTTTTTCTTTATTCTTTGTGTTTTTTGCTTCCGACGCACAGTGCTTCGAACATATGGCTCTAGAGGACAAAAATCCAAAACTTCTCTTTTATTGTAAGCAATTTATTCAAACTAGGTTTATTTGACACAAATGATGAGTACTCTCATTGTACTAAATGATGATGTTCTTAGTCCCACGTTTATGAAAAAAAAAATCTTATAAATAATAATAATGTTGGAGCTGTGTTCCATCTAAGCAAATAATAAGTTATAGTATGAAAACGTTGTAAGTATTAAATAAATTCCTGTGATAAAAAGAATTGAAATAACATTAGAACATGATTCCTACAATATAAGCCTAATATAAGATAAAAATGTTTTTCTTTAATGAAAAAGAAACATTAATGTTATATTTAATTAAAAAAAAACTTAAGATACTATAAATTTACTTAAGGACAACAAAACGCATAGATCGTAACTACTCTGATTCAGGAGAATCACTGCTGACAGAATCTTCCAAATTTATAGTATCCAAATCACAGGTAGATGAAGTATCCTCACATATAAGATATTTCTGTACATCATTTTCTAATAAGTTAATTTTTCGCGTTGTTACTGTTCTTCTTGCTGGTATGAGGGGTTTGGATATTAATAGTTACCTCTTTAATAGACCATATCCATATATTATTTTTTCCTTTTCTTGGGTATGAGGTTTTATAATAAATTGAAAGTTGGAAAATTTTTATGCGACGTTTCGCTCCAACATAGTGGGCTTTTTCAGGCACAAGTGGTGTCTCATTTGACTGGAAGGTTCATCAGTATCTAATAAAGAACACATTTTTTGAAATACAAATAATTTTAAGTTCTTGTCCTTGTGATCAAGCCAAGTATTAGCCAGATCGGCATTGCTTATCAATTTTACTCCATCTGAAAAGTATTATAAAATAAAGTTCGTCGCAAGCAGACACAGGCGAACTATACAAAAATTAAAAGTGTATGAATATGGCAACAAAAATATTCAATAAATACGATATGTTTTGATATGTTTTTTTTAAATGCCTTTTTGAAGTTTGAAAACGTAAAATTTGTTTACCCATTTAAGAATCATCTTAAAAAATAAGTAAAAACTAAACAATCACGAACTTGTTTAGAAATAAATTTAAAGTACATACCTTGTTTAACAATATCCATAGTGGCTTTCAATTAAGTACGTACCCGTTTAACTCCATAATATACAGAACTACTATGAATGTTATTCTTTTCACTGATGAGATAATGATCGCAAAATTTATTTTTAGTGAAAATATTTGCTAACAAAAACGCTGTTTATGAAAAATAATATACAGGATGGTTGAACATTGCTATAGGTATAAAATTATATATTCAGATATTAGTAAATTTTAACTTATTTTTTGATTTTTGTCCATGGGACGAAGCACTGTGCGACGTCTGGGAAGAGATATACTTTCCTTAGGAAAACTTGTTTATTAGTAAATCACTGCTGCCAAGCTGTGTACAGTGGCCAATAGGACTTTTTTGAAGAGAATATCTAGAGGTATAGGCTTGGTGCATTCTGCGCTGGTGCTGCCACCATCGGAGAATATCGTAAACAACTAGTATATACAAATACACGGGTTTAAATAGCGAGAATACGAAAAATTTATTATTTAATAATTAGTCTAAAGTCAGGAAGTATAATTTGTAAAAATTCTAAAAATAAAAATAAAAAAGTAAATATTTTGATATCTTCAGAAGGTCTAACTTGAATTATAATTTATTATCCAGTTAAATACACTTTTTAGATGAATTCAACTACGGTAGCGAGCATAGTTTTAATCACCGGTTTTGCTAGTGGGGCATAATTGGGGCTATTTCGGCTATAACGCAATTTTTTAAAGGTAATATTTATAATTTTAGAAGATGTTCATGAAACATGTAATCACTAGTTGATTAAAAAAAGTATACCATTAACATTGCAAATTATATTTTATCCTCTCATGGTATATTTCTATTTAATTTTTTGATTATGTAACGAGCACTTTGTTTACTCACTTGTTTCGTCGAACTGCTTGAATCCATTTTTGCTTTTGTTCAAATCGGTGCGAGAAACTATGAAGCTATAACATGTTGTTTCGGGAGAGTTGAATATCCGGGAAAATTGAGTTATTGAATGTTATTGCATCCAACAACGCCCTAATTACGCTCTCCTTTATGCGGTAACATTTTTTCGGCAATTTTATTAACATTTGAAATTGTCACAACACAATAAGCTATTTTTGATCTGGAATGTCCACTAGCTCCCATGCCTCATTTTCTTCGAAGGAGTTCAGTTCTTCTTCCATAGCTTTTCTCCAGCTCTCCCTGTCTGGCCTCGACAGAGCTATTTCCACTGTTTTTGGTTCATTTTCCAGATCCCCATCTTCTGGACAAAAATAGCTTAGGGCGTTTTCAAGGTTTCTAGGTTTTGGAACCCTGTTAGACCTTCTTAGTGGTTTGTCATCTTGGGTCTGTTGATTGTGGTCATCTCCTGAGTCTTGCCATAAGTCTCCTGAGCTTGCACTCGAGACTTCGACATGTTCTGACTCGATTGTACCACCTTTTTGGGTCTCATCAGTGTCTCCCACTGAAACTGACACTTCGAGGTTATCTGGCTCGGTGTTTGATTGGTTTTTCAATAAAATGTCGATTCCATCATCATTTTCCATTATGGTGACATCTCTGCTAGTTATTACCGTTTTCTTTGCTGGATCAAACACCCTGTAACCTTTGGTACATTCATCATAACCCACTAAAATACACCTTGATGACTTTTTGTCCCATTTTAGTCTCTTTTCCTTAGGGACATGTACCATGGTAGGACTTCCAAAAATCTTTAAATTACTGACATCCGGTTTCCTGCCATTCCATAGCTCGTACGGCGTCATCTGTAATCCTGCTGCTATACATCTATTACGTAGATAAACAGCTGTGTTAACCGCTTCAGCCCAGAACAACTTCTCTAAGCCCCCATCGAACAACAAACATTTGGCTTTTTCAACAATTGTTCGATTAAGCCTTTCAGACATGCCGTTTTGTTCCGGTGTATATGCATTCGACTTTTGGTAAATAAACTGTTTTTTAAGAAGTTTTCAAACTCTCTCGAACAGAATTCACCGCCATTGTCGAATCTGAGCACTTTAATCTTTTGATTCGTTTGGTTTTCAGCCATATTTTTAAATTGTTTAAAGCAACCAAACACTTCGTCTTTAGTCTTGATGAAGTAGACAAATGCCATTCGACTGAAGTCATCCTCAAAAACCACAAAGTATTTCGAACCTCCCAAAGATCTTGTCTCCATTGGACCGCAAACATCGGTATGTACAACTTCTAGCAACTTCTTTGCTCTGGTACACTTGTGCTTAAAAGGTAATCTGGTCTGCTTACCTTCACAGCAAATCTTGCAAAT